ACAAATGTTTTTGTAGACTTTGAGAGAGAATATACACCAAGAATATCGAAGTTGTAGAAAGACGTGTATTCACAGGTGTCAAAGCTTTATTTGGGGAACCGATCTTTTATCGCTAGCAGCTTTATTTAGAGTAATATATATATTTTTAGAATAATTTTGACGTTATCCTGTTTCATGGGAATTTTCAGTGACGGGCACTCGAGCTGATGAAGAGGTGAAGCCAATTTGTTTTAATTATTTTTATATAATCATGTCTTTTTGTATATATTGTTCATTTACCCGAACCATCTGTACCCAAACAATTGATAAATTAATAGAGACCGGGGATAGTGAGCAGATTTTCCAAAAAGCTATTAGAGAACAAGGCCGAGGCCAGGTATTTTTTTCTATATTTTCCAAAAAACTTTTTTTGGTCATGCACGGTTAAAATATAGCTCATATTGGTTTATGTTTACAAGTAATGGACACCCTAGCAGAAATTCAAGAGCGACATGATGCCGTGAGAGATTTGGAGAAGAAGCTTCTAGATTTGCAACATGTACTTTTTTTTTTTGGTACAAAGAAGGAGGCCGAGCCCTAAGAACTAAGATACTAATACGCGTCGTGGCTGAGCCACCCCTCGTACATCACGATCAATCCAATCCTTCAACCCCGGGGGAGGTGACGGTAATCTGTGAAGGCCTAACGGGGAAGATGCCGCAAGTTCTGCCATATGGTCTGCTGCGAAATTCGCCTCCCAGTGCACATGCTGGATCTGAATGTTCCAATCTCTATGTACTAGACTCTGAATGGCTCTGACTAGTGTTTCATGCGCTCCAAGATAAGTTCGTGGCCCCATGATCATCTCCAACACACACTGGCTGTCAACCTCCGCAATCGTCTTCCTATACCCCAAATCCCAAGCTAGACTTAGACCTTGGAATAGGCCCCACAGTTCGGCCCCGACAATCGAGCCAAAGCCAATATTCATGAGAAATCCGTCAATCCACTCACCGGTCTCGTTTCGTAACAGACCCCCTGCACTGCACTGGCCCGAGTTGCGATTATAGGATCCGTCCGTATTAATTTTAATCCATCCCGCCTCCGGAGGGTGCCATTGGATCATGCGGATAGTATGCAATTCTGCGCCAGCTTTCCCATAGGCCAAAACCGCTTTCTCATATGGCTTTGATTGTCGGAGAATTTCCATATATCGAGTCTCACATCCCAGGGACCGGTTATTAAAGATGCGATCATTGTGCCACTGCCAAGCGCTCCACATGCCGAAGGCGAACTTACTGTTCCATCCTTTATCTGCACTAGTCGTCGCCACTCTCAGGTTGTTCCTCATCCAAGCCCGAAGGTTCTGTTGAAAGAAGGTAGTGACGAGACCAGCTGGGATAAGTTTATGCTATACACTCTTGGTGATTGGGCAATCACGCAAAACGTGCAGAGTGGTCTCGGTCTCCCTGCAGATCTCGCATTTCGTCGAAGCAGAAATATGGCGTCGGGCCCGCTGGCAATTAGTTAATAACCGGTCATGGGCCACTAACCACAGAAATGTCCGAACCCTCTGAGGTACAGGAGAAGACCAGATCATCTTCCAAATCGATCGGTCCGGGTCCCTCTCCGTGTGAGCTAAGGAGAAATAGGCGGATTGCGTGGAGAATTTACCGTCCGGGGCTGCGCTCCACGCTATTCGGTCTGGTCCTGCTAAATCCCGCGGAGGAGCAAGCACATCAATGCGCATGATAATGGCGGAGGGGAGGAGGCCGTGGAAGTCCTGCCATCGCCAATTACCTCTTTCATCAATATAGTCCTGGACAGTCAGGCGTAGTGCATCCTCGGGAGGTCGCTGGGCAGAATAATATATTAACGGGCCGAGAGCGTCGACCCATGGATCGAGCCAAAACCGCACTGACTCT